TTAATTTGATTAAAAATTAAAGTTAATTGAGTAATCTAGTCAGAAACAATTTAATGATTTTTTATTAAAGTAGTATTATTTTAATTTATTTAAAAATATATATGTTGATCATTCAAACACGGGAGCCGGAACTTGCAACCGGTCCAGCCCATGCCCATGGTGTATTTTTTTATTATTTATTTACGTGGGTGTCCGGGCCAGCTTGCGCGTATCACGACTAATCTCATGACTCACTGAACACCCTACAAACCCAGTAGGTATGTAAGACACCGCGAGGATGACAGACATGCACATGAGGACTCGAACCTAGATACAATAAAAAAAAACAAGCTCTTTTCACCGCCAGGTCAAGACCCTCGATCCGCCCATGGTATATTTTAAAACTATGCTTTCTACATGGCAAAATCTATGGACATCTCCTTATACCCGTTGACCCACAACCACGACCGTGCTTGCCCACCGGCTAGAATTGTTTTGCAAATTATTCGACGTCTCTTCAAATTTCCCTTTTGCTCGAATCTTTTGGCATTAAATAACTTGCATTCTCTGTTATTTTGTTTCTCCTCGATAATGTGGGCTCCTTCTTTTAATTTTCTAAATTTAAAATTGGAGAGTAATGTTAGATATAAGTAGCCAGTGCGTTATTTAAGGGTAACAATGCATTTAATGATATTAATTATTATCCGTTGCTGTATTCAGTATTAAAAATAATTTATTTTTTCAATATATCATACCGAGTAAATATTGTATTCTTTAAAGCTAAAGTGCATTCAATTGTTAAAGAGACAGAGAGAGCTAAAAATACATGTTGGGAAATAATTGTTTTTGTTTTTGTTTATTGTGAATTGTGAATTGTGAATTATAAGAGTTAATTATTTCTTGATTATTTCATTACTATTTTGCAAAGTAAAATAACTTTATTATCTTAAAAGCAAATAATTATTTAACTATAGTCTAGGATATCTTTGTAGGTATTTCATGTTTTTTTGCTAAACTATAATTACGTGATTGTCCTTGGATTCAAATTTTAAAAACCTTGACTTAAGGGGTTGGTTTGTAATTTCAAAATACTTTTAGCAATGTTTGGGTATTAAGAATAGAGTAATCTTTGTAAAAAAAATACAAAAAGTTATTGACCCATTTTTATGAATAATTAAGTAAAAAATATTTTTTAAAAATTATTAAATTTATATAAATTTATAAATTGAGGAATGTTAACCATGATCATCTAATATATTATTGTCTCGAGATTTTTAAAAAACATTATTCCATATATTTTTTATAAGCTAATAATTTTTTTGTCAATCATTCATGTTTTATTTAAACTTATTCAAGCAAACAATTCACATCATGTTGTTAGCTCCTATATGGTCTAACTAGAAACCCGTGTTGGGAAAAGAGTCGAGTCAGGGATTTAAATATTGACTTATTTGTCAAGGTTTAATAGCATCACTAAAAAATCTTTATGCTCTTGTTTTTTTTTTAAAAAAAAATGGTTAAGCTCGCGATAAAGTGCGAGGTAATAAACTTATACTAGTTATCATCCATGATTTATTTTTTATATTTTTATTGAAAATCAACCCAGCTTAATCTTTGAATCACTAGAGTCATTGGACAATCCATTATATCGAGTCAAGTTTTAAAACAATACATTATTGTGATAAAAAAAATAGGCCAATGACTTAATATTAAAGATTAAAGACCTTTATGAAATTTGCCCGTTTATATATATAAAAGACATTAGTATTTTATTGTGGCCTTATACTCATAACACTATAAATTAGAACAATATCATGTCATATAAGGCCTTTATTCACAAAACTTAAAGATATTGCTTTTTAGGATGTTTTTATTTCCATGAAAATTTAATTAGCATTGCTAAATTCATCAAGGGGCTATGATATTCACATAAAATTTTAACATAATATAATATTTTTTTTAATCCTTGAAGAAAAATAACATATACTTATCACCGATAGGTGTTTTTGGCGTCTCATATTTAATTGCATAGTAAATTCACAAATTGCCTGAAAAAAAAATAGATGTGCTATGACATTTGTATATTTTTTTTCTGGTTTCTCGTCCTAGTGTTTTATATATATATATATTTGAAATTTGGTTCTTACAAAATTCAATGCAAACCTTCAATTACTTGTTTTTTTTTTATATTTCAACCCTAGTCTTTTGATTAATATTTTTTTATTTAAAATAATTTATAAAATTAGATTATTTTCTAATTTCACCTAGTGGATTTTTTTCATATGTTTAATTTAGTTTCTATTTTTTTAATTATATTTATTGTATTTAAAATGATTTATATAATTAGTTTGTTTTTTGATTTTATTCTCCTTGGGTTTTCCTATTAAATCTTTAAACTTTAATTTTTTTTTTCTAGTTTGATTGTATTTTGTGATGCCATTATTCAACATTAAATTTGTTTTGTGTTTAACTTCTTGATTAAATCATATAGGAAGTTCAACAAATTACGAGCCCGAGATATTAATTTATGGCCATGAGGTTCTCCCAAGGTTTGTTTAGTTCTTTTATTTATTTTTAAGGTTCTCCCAAGGTTTGTTTAGTTCTTTTAATTTATTTTTAAATATATTTTTTGTTTCATCATTTAATATTTTTTATATTTTTGATGAGATTTTTTTTTTATGTTTTAAAGTAATATGAATTGCATTAAAGTTTTTTTTCCCTTCTCTTTTCTAGATCCGTCTCTTTTAAAAAGAAATCTTTTAAATTATAATAAATTAATTTATTTTATCTTTTAATATTACATTAACATTTTATTGCCTCAGTTTTGTTTTTATGCTCTTTGCTAGATTTTGCTCTCTTGAAAATATTTTTTAATTAAATTAATATCTAACCCTTTAGCATTAGAACTTGTTTTATATTAAGCTTTATAGTTGAGTTTAGATGTGAAATTTAATAATTTGTGGCTTGAGAGATTGGCATGAGTTTAAAAGGTTCATTTGGATTTGCTTTGTTTCCCTTTCTTTTTTAGCTCTTTTTTTGTTTCATCCTGGTATTGTTTTCTTAGTTTCCCTCGTATTGTTTATAAGATTTTCCATTTATCTTGAAAAAAATATGTGTTACTAGGATTTGTTTTTCATGCATAGTCCAATTTATTTTTCTATGAGAATTTTTATTTTTAAAATAAATATAACCATAGAATGTTTTTCATTTAAAAATCAGGCTGGCCTAAACCTCAAGTCTTTTTGGTCACGAGTCAAGCTTTTAGGTCAAGTATACCTTTAAAATAATGTATTTTAATTTTAATTTTGATTTTTTGATTTTTTTAAATAATCCCTCGCATTCTTGGTTTTTATTTTTGTTTTGGATTATTTTGTGAAGTTGTGGCCAGAGAAATTTTTAGTCTTGCCCTTCAATTCAATATTTGATAATATTTGAAATTTTGACCCTTGATATTTTAATTTTTAATTTTTATTATTAGTCCTTTCATTAAATTTTACTTTATTTTTAATTTTATCACTTGATTGTGCTAAATTTTTTTTTTTATTTTTGATTTTTTTTTTGATTGTTAGAAATTGATAATTATTTTTTTAAGTTTATATATCAGGCCTTGTTTGTTTCTTGGAAAGTAATTTCCTTTTGGAAAGTAAATTTCAAAAAAATGAATTATTTTCTGATGTTTGGTAGTATTAGGGATGTTCAGGGTCCGATTCGGTCCGGTTTTAACATAAAAATTCAACTGAACCGGAAAATGCTATTCCTTTTTAATATAACCCGAACCGAATTAAGAACCGGTTCAGACCGAACCGATTTTGTTTGGTTCGGGTCAGTTTTTTAGCCTTAAAAATCGAAACCAATTAAATAAGAGAAAACTTGGCCGAATCACAATCACTAGACAAACTTGGCCGAATCACATT